TTTGGATTTGCATTTCTCTGATGAGTAATAGTATTGAGCGTCTTCACGTATTTGTTGGCTATCTGTATGTTATCTTTGAAAAGACGTTTATTCAAATCCCTGCCCATATTTTAAGGCTTTTTTTTTTCTGCTGAATTGTAGTTCTTTATATATTTCTGGCAGTAAACTCTTGCCAAATATATGACTTGCGAATAATTTTCTATTCCATAGATTGTCTTTTTCTTTGATGCAAAAAAGCGTTTTAAATTTTATTTTTTAAGTTTATTGGTACATTTTAGGTACACCTAATGATCACATTCATTATAGAGAATTTGTGCAAAAGTTTTAAATGTTAATGACAAAAAATAAATAAATGTTAATGACATCCCATTTATCTGCTTTGCCACTTCTGTTCTTGGTGTCACATCTGAGGATCATTTGCACAAGCCAGGGTCGTGAGGGCCCCCGTGTTTCTTCTAAGAGCTCTTACCTTTAGACCATTGATCCACTGGGATTACTTTCGGTCATGGTTTACGTGTGCGCTCCAGCCCGTCAGGACGGAGTGCAACGGCGCTCGTGACTGTGAACACTGCAATCCCCGCCGCTGGTGGTGTTTTTAAAAGTGCACTGGTCAAGAGCAAGCTGTGGAGTGAACCTCAACAAGAGGGCTACAAGCAGGACCCCGGGTCAGTCAGGCCTGGGTCTGCAAGTCCTCCACGTGGCAGCTGCAGACAGCAGAGGCTGGCGCTGTGCTGGCGGCCGTGCGGCCAGGCAGCGAGTGTCTGCTTCCCGCCAGCATCCTGTCTCGGTCCTCGAGAACTTATTATTCGTGTGAACTTTGTCTGCACTGGAATTACATTCTGTCCCAAGGAGCCACATGTCAGGAAGGTCACCGCCACGTGCCTGGCTTCCATGTGCAGTAGTGGACTTAGCACCGCCCGGCCTTTCATCGCAGTAGAGGGGAGGGTCAGGGAGGAGAGTCCAGCTAATTACCAGTGTTTTTGAGTAATTGTTGGGAAGAGGTGAAAGACCTCATGGCCCCAAGTACCTCTGAGTGGTCAGAGGCTGAGGAGACGCAGGGTGGGCGCGCTGGGATTTGTGAGGGTCTCTGCCTCCGCCTTCTTCAGCTCTTGTTCTGCTTCCCTGTGATGCTCTTCATTTTCCCTGGCCGGACCCCGCCAGCTGCTTTGTGATGTGGAGGGGAGGAGCCCCCCTGTGCCCCGGCCCTGGCCTCAGTCGTGGGGCACGGGGTGGCCCTGTACACGGGAGTTAACAGCACAGTTTGTTTCTGGAGAGATTAATGCACCACATTCCAGGTTACTGTTTTAAAATTTGTTAGCAGTCAGCTTGGTTTCCACAGAATTTTTCAATTTAAAATGAAATCAGGTGACGTAGCTGCAGCGCAGACGATTGCTCACGTCCTTAGCCTGCCACTTGTGTGCAGCACCTGCAAGCTGCTAGCTCAGAGGAGAAGCGAGAGACATTTATACAGGACAGTCACAGGGTTAACAGGTCCCAGCCACTCTCCCCTGCGAAGCGGCCGAGCCCCAGCAGCTCTGCCTGAGCAAGGCAGGCTTTCCACTGGCGTGGGCTATGTTTTGTTGGTTGTGTCTGCCAGAAACTGCCACACACTCGCCAGAGTTCTACACCCGCGGGGCATTTAGCTTGTGCTTAAAGATCAAATGCACTCTGCTGCAGCGGCCGCTCAGTGTTGTCTGGAAAGGGGAGAGAAGTTGGGCCTGGAACATTGGTGTCCCGAGGGTCAGACCCTAATGGTTTGCTTGGTCCAGGCTCCCTAAAGCAGAGCGGGTGCAGCCTATTTCTAAGGGTGCTAAGAAAATGCAGGAATGCACTGTATTAACCCTTGAATGTGGTAGAAGAAAACTTTGACCAATCACTCTTTTCATGTTAAAATGTAGACCTATCAGAGTAGAGTGCAAAATGTATGAATTTTGAAGATAATGGAGTTTTCCGTGAGGTTTGTATCTTCTGATCTCAGGAGACCTGTTTTTCCTCTCTGTACCTGGAAAGAGGGTTTGCATTTGGTCACCAGTGCACAGACCGATGGGCCGTCCTTGGGTGTCCTGCGCAGGTTGTGCACCCTGGCGCCTGAGCAGTCCGTGCTGCGTCATCCGATAAGCAGAGCGCCCCTGATGGGGGCAGAGGAATCTCCCTCCCAGTCCCTGTCTGGCTGTCGGTCCCTTTGGGGCTGTTTTCATAGTTTCAACAGAAAGAAACAATGTGTTTTAGTGGTAAGAGAACTATGTGGCTCTAAGTTAAAAGAAAATTTGTTTCAAGTAGGCTGTGGTCCTTTTTCATGCAGGTCTCTTTGTCATGAAAATGCAGAAATGTCCCTGAGTTAATTCCTTCACCATGGGATGTTTATGGTAGAGATTATGAAGTTCTTTGTAACTGAGACTTTATAAATATTTTCACCATGGTTTTTTACTAGTCATTCGAAACATGTTTTCTTGTACCTTCATTGGTAATCCAGGAGGTGTTGCTATTCCACAGTGTGACCACTCGGGGGAGCATGGTTGTTTTTGTGTTTTGCAGTAAGTGGAGACAGCTTGAGGCAGAAAAATATTTCTGTTGAACTAATTTAACACAACTTCAAATAAGCAAATTTCAAGTAATGAAGTTTTAAGTAATACCTTACACTTTCTTAAAAATTATTTTAGCGTCATCCTATATATGTCAGGGATTAGTAGTGGAAAAAAAAGAAACAAGAAGGTGTATATTTTATTTAGTGTCACTATCACTCGTGGAATCTGAGTAAGAGTCAGATGACCCTGGCTAACTTTTTGGTCTTGTTTCTCTCTAAGATGGACTATTTTGAAAAACTCATGACTTAGAAAAGATAGCTTCCAGCTAGCTCCCCTTTAAAAATAAAAGATTGTTGAAGTTGCTTTATAAAGAGAAAGGTTTTCCCCAGTATTTAGCCTGTTACTTTCACTTCAGCCTGTCGAGAACAGTTTGATGATGCTTTTCTTTGAAGCTGTTTGTGGTTTTAACATTGACTGACTGGAAAGCGCCCCGCTCAGATGGGGCTGGAACCGGAACACCACGTCCCAGGCTGCAGGTCAGGGCACTGCCCGGGTCAGCACAGGGAGGCCGCAGGTGCGCCTCGTGGCGACAGCAATGTTCGGGAGATGAGCTCACCTCTCAGGGTCCAGGGTGCGTGCTCCGCCGCAGGCACGGCGTCCTGTGAATGATCGTCCAAACAGTGACACAACGCGGGGCGGGAGGCTCAGGGCATGCCTGGGGCCCTCTTCCCCTGGGCCTTGCCCCCTCACTGGCTGGCCTCCTCCTGTCTCCCATCAGCTGCCTCCCCCTGCGCTGGGCACGTCCTCCTGGGGTCTCAGCTGGGCAGTGTGGAAGAAAGCGCTGAGCCAGAAATTGGGCGGACTTGGCCAGCTAAGCGAGTGACGTGTTGCCTAGTGCTAGCCATCTTTCTGGGCCTCAGTTTCCTCCATTTGCAACAGATAAAGATAAGATTTCTCCTTTTCTTCCCCCCCACCCCGCCGCAGTTCCCCCTCCTGCATCTCCGTACTGTTCCGGACACCTCCTTTTTCTCCCTTCATCTCTGCAGGCCGTGTTCTTCCCTTCGCATCTTCCCCTCCACTGCTCCCCAGCGCAGCATCTGCCGTAAGGTTCTCAGGGCTCTGTGATGCCAGGGCCTGCGCTGCAGTGGCGGAGGAGGCGGAGGAGGCGGAGGAGGCTGCGCTCTGTGGCCAAGGGCCGACCCCCAGCCCTGTCGCTGTCCCTGTCCCTGTCCAGCAGGTTGCACAGCGAGCAAGGAAAGGGGTCGAATGCAAGACAAGGTCTCCTGCTTTTTTTTTTGGTTTTTTGGTTTTTCTCTGGTACCGGGAACCGAACTCACGACCTTGCGCTTGCCAGGCAGGCGCTTTGCCGCTGAGCTAAATCCCCAGCCCAAGGTCTCCTGCTTTTAAGTGGGATGAAATTAGTGTTTAACGCTGCCACCCAGACTCATTTTACTATGTAGTTTGGTGTCGTATTGCTGTACCAAACACTGCCCTCTCCTGTTTGGTCAGACGTTTGGAAGTTTGGTGTTCCTGTGAATTTCAGAGGTTAAAAAAAAGGCTTAACCATAAACAGAGGAAGCAATCTGCTGTTGGTGAGTGAAGCAGCTCCGTGGGACGAGGCCAGGCCCTGTCTTCAGCTGTGTGGCAGCCCTGCCTGCTTTCCCTCGGCCCGCAGGGGGTCCCAGGCCCGAAGCAGCACCACACAGCGGAAGTGTCATGTGAGCGCTAATTTTCACGTTTAAAAAGGAAAAAAATAGGGAAAATTGCAACATCTTGTGTAAGTCTGTATATACAAATATTATCACTTAGAAGGAGTTGTGTATCAAAATGTCTGAGATTATTTCACCTTTTTCATCCTAAATCTTCAAATCCAGAGGCTGTTTTCTACCTACAGCTCTGGGCGGTTAGTGCTGACCTGCTCGAAGGTTCAAAGCCACCTGTGGCTAACGGCTGTTCGTGATGAGCAGGCAGTCCTGGAAATGACTTGAGTAAAGCAGATTTTGATGTAAACACCCAAGACATCTTTCTGTGTGTGTTGCGTGTTCTAGGGTGTTAGAAGAATTGAGTTGGAGTTACTTCATGGTGGCTGATGGAGCTATTGAGGAGCTCCTGGGGCTGTTTGCAGCGTTGCACTGTCCTGCTCTCGCGGGCTGGTCGGTGGTGTTTGTTATTTACAGTGCTGAGCAGCATAATCTCCAAGAATCGTGAAAAAAGACTGGGTCATGCCAGTATGATGAAGTAAAAATAGTCAGCAGCAGAGCTCCACATGGCAGGTGTAACCCAGCTGGCTCTAGGGAGCCCCTGACATTCACAAAAGATAGGTAGCCTTTCCTTCATAGGGTTTGCATAAGGCCGCTTTGCATATGTAAAGCTGTTTTATTTCTGAAAGCGAGGATGTGATTGTGTGGGGGAATCATTAACTCAGTCGGTGCCTGCGGTGGAGGCTGCGTGGCTGTGGAGTGACGGGCAGGACCAGGCACCTATCAGTGTAAACAGCACAGCAGCATGCGTCCCGGGCCCTGCTTATCTCCTCGGAGAGCAGGGGACGGGTGCTCTGCACAAATCTCATTGGTAAAGTTGTGTGTGCACTGGTTTTGTAGAACCATTTCCTTTCAGTTTAACTCTGTCCGGGCGCCGAGAGCAGTGCTCAGCTGTCAGCAGAGCGCTTTCTGTTTGATGGCCCCCGGTCTCGGCGAGGAGACGTGCTCCACACGCGGCACCCACTCTGAGATGTCGCACCTAGAAGGTGGCAGCGAGGAAGTGAGCCCGGGCGGGGAGAGCACCGGTGTCTGCAGCGGCAAGGCCCCCCCAGGTCTCCTGGTGAGTTCCGCCGGCCCGGTGCGCAGAGCAGGTGCCCCGCTCTGGGTGCTGCTGGTGGCCCTGCCCCGTGCGGTCAGTGCGATGCTGCCATGCATTGGACTAACCTCACGCCCAGGGCCACCCGCCCCTTCGTGGCTCTGTGCTTGCTTGCTCTCTGCCTCTTTCTTTAGTTGGTATTTAACAAATAATAGCTTTCTGGCTGGGAGAAAAATTGAAGTTGCTTTGAACTGAGAATTTTTTTTCAAAAAGTAGATTTCAAAATAATGTATATAGCCAGGCCGGGTGGTGCGTGCCTATAATTCCAGCACTTGGGAGGCTGAGACAGGCATACCACTGCAAGTTCAAGGGCAGTCCAAACTACATAGTGAGCCCGTCTCTATTTTTTCTTTTTGTCCTTTTGAGGCAGAGTCTCGCTCTGCAGTTCAGGCTGGCCTTGAGTTCACTTTGTAGCTCAGGCTGGTCTCAAACTCATGACGATGCTCCTGCCTCAGTCTCCCAAATGCTGGGATTACAGGCGTGCGCCACCACGCCCGGCTTCAAGCCCGTCTCTAAAAACAAAGTGTATTCGGTTTCATATTCTCTTTGCATCTCACTGTAGTAGTTGAGGTACAAAAGTTATTCAAAGGTTTATGGTTTTTATGGTCAGCCAAATTTTTTGAAAGCTAAATTAGTATTTTGGAACTGACCTTTTATTTAAGTGTGTGATAGAGAAGAGTGCTTCAGTTCTTTTTTTCTGTGCTTGTATAAAAAATTTTTTGTAAGTTTGAAATCAGTGTGGAGAAAAATACAAATTGTCTGAATTTTTTATCCAGAATTTCCTTTAAAAACGTGAAATAGCCAGGTTGGTAGCTCATGCCTGTAATCCCAGCACTCAGGAGGCTGAGGCCGGAGGCTTGCCATGAGTTCAAGGACAGCCTGGGCTATATAACCTATTCGATCGAGGACAGCCTGCACTACATAGCAAGACCCTGTCTCCAAAACAGTAAAATGTGAAATAAATGCTTTCCTTGAAGGTACTTAGAAATTAAGGGTGTGTATTCTATGAAAAGCGTAAAATCAGCAAAGCAAAAACTTCACTGTTTCTCAGTGAATGTCGACGGTGTCTGGTGAGCACTCTGGTTGGCCTGGGCTCTAATGGCACAAATGTTGTCACCTGTCAGGTGTCGCCCCACTCTGCGCCTTTGCTTGGGTCTGCAGGCATGCTTGTGCTGGCCGGGGCTGACGGGAGGCGCGTGTCTGCGTGAGTCCGCGGCGGCCGAGGGCCGCACTGCTGTCCAGCTCCCCACCTCAAGCCCGAGCGGCTGTGGGTCCAGGCCTCCGTGGTGGAAGGCTGGGGTAGGTGGGCCAGCACGAGAGCTGTCCGCTCCATGCCATCCTTGGCCCCTTGCTGCGGTGCTTTCCAGGGGAGGTGGAGGGGCGTCTGCTGAGGCTGCACTTCAATAACAGCTTTCTTTTATGTCACTGTTGCACGTCAAGGTCCCGAGTCACCTCCCCACCCCAGGAGAAACGCTCGCCCTCTGAACGGCCAGTGCCGTGTTACTGGGTGTCCCGTGCGCCTGGCCCGCGGCGGAGGTTCAGAAGTCAGCTTTATGACCTGGGCGTGGGCGAGCTTGCGCCCGGCGTGCGGCCCCGGCCTCCTGAGCTCTGAGCAGGCTCACGCGGCGCTTCCTCCTGGGGCACCTCTTGTTGGTTTCACTTTGGCAAGACTTTCTCCACAGTTTGACATGTGGAATGTACACATCTCATGCGGTGAAAGCCATGAGAAGACTTCTGTGCTTCATTTAGGGGTTGGGGGCGGACCCCTCGTCCTCAGCCTTCAGCCTTTTCCAGGGGACCGGGGCAGCTGGCCGATTCCATCGAGCTCGGCGTGGTTTTGTGCTGTGAACTGCGTGGGCAGCGAGTCACTCGGCAGGGTGACACAGGGCCCGGAGGAGTGCTTTATACTGGCCAGGGGCGGGGCGGGGCCTGGGGGCGCCCGCTCGGCACACTGCTGGCGCAGTAGGCAGCGCATCCGGAGCTCCTCGTGTTCTCCAGCCCGTGCGGGCGGTGTACAAGACGGTGACGTGCTTCACTGAGCGAGCGAGCTCTTCAGAGTTCCTCGTCTCTGAACTCCCGCCCCTCCCAGCCCCTTCCACTCGAAGGGTGCTGGGTGTCCTGCTCGAGTGCCAGGCTGCTGGCTTCCGAGCCCTGCAGGGCTGCACACCTGCAGGTGTGGACTGAGAGCTTGCCGGCCAGTGAGATGATGTCTTGGAACTGCGAGGGCACAGGGCTGGGGACGTCACAACCAGCCGGCCGGGGTTGGGCACCGACTGTTCAAATCTGCATTGGCGGCCCCTTTGCCTTGGAACCCTGATCCCGCAGTTGAGTCAGGAAGCTTGTAGGCTTGGGGCTGTGGCCCTGAGCGTGTTCAGGCCACAGGAAGATTCTCAGGCAGGCCCCTCTTGGTGGCAGTCTGTTTTCCCTAGGAAAGGCCCGGAGAGGGTACAGTAACCGTGCCCTAGCCCAGCGCCTCGCGGGGCCGTGCAGGACAGGCCCAGAGCCGGACTCCAGGGGCAGCGTCCTGTCCGGCAGCAGGCACTCTTCTTCGTGCGACGGCGGAGCCCGCATTTGCAGTATGCCTTGAGTTCATGGCAGCTTTGCAGTGCTCTGTGTCTCCATACTTAGACCTGCCCCGGGCTTGGCCCCGACTCGGACCCCGCCACTGTGCTCTTCACAGCAGTGGCTGGGGGCACCGGGACCCCGTGTGGTGTGGCATCGGGGTGCGACTCTGTCCCCTCAGAGTCCCAGCTCTCTCCCTAGGTGGCCCAGACCATTCGAAAGTAGAACGATTTCTGATACTTTTTATTGTTTTGAGTCTTGTTCTAGAACAAGATTTCTTGGTCTCTTCCTTGAAGCCTGTTTGATTACCTAACATTGGTTGAGACGTTGTTGGAGAGATAATTCCCAAAGGGCGATAAAAAATTACCCTGCTGTTGTATAAGAGTGTAGCTTTAGCCGTGTGATGAAACTGTGCCCAGAACTTTGTGTGCCTTGGCTGTGCCAGCTCAGCCTCAGCGCCCGTCTGCGCCCAGTGGATCTCGGCAGGTTGTATAATGCCCCATCCGTCAGTGACGGCCCGCGCTCCATCTGACCTGCGCGGAGAGGCTCTCCAGCCGGGTCACAGGGCATGCTGGGATTGCACAAGTCCTCAGTTGCCTTTGTTTTTCTCAGACACAGAGCCTGAACTCGGAGCCATTATAGACGGATACCTGGTCATAAGGTCGGAGTCTTGCTGGGAGCGGTGAGGCAGGGAGGGAGCGGGAAGCACCACTTTCTCCAGCTCTGCTCCCCATGGAAGCACAAGGGCTGGAGCAGGTCCGCCTCTCCAGGTACCAGGCAGCTTGAGATAGGCTGACGTTCTGAGGTCCTTGGGGGCCTTAATAGTTCCAGCAGTCAAGGGGGATGGGGTGGCCAGAGGTGACGGTGACCCCGGTTAGGTTGCTGGTGTCCCTGCTGGGCAGACCTGGCCGCAGAGCAGCACAGAGGTGCTCAGCTCTTTCTTAGGACCTAGCTCTAGGCCTCATGCAGGTTTTTTTGAGGAAGCCCCGTTTCAGAATCCAGCCCGGATCTCACCTCCAGAGTTGTGTGTCCTCGGCACATCCCCTGTCTGTGACAGTGCCTTGGACCTTCCAGTTTTTCCACAGATGTGACATTTCCAGGGGTGCTGGTCAGATATTTTGTAGCATTATCCTCTGGGTGTGTCTGGCGTTGTCTTGTCCTTAGACTGAGGTTATGTTTTGGACAAGTGACACGTTCTCCGGAAGCTGCTTGGCCCCGCTTGTCCTCACTTTCATCCGCTGTGCTACACATCCCTTGATGGCTCTTGCTCGCCGTGGGTTACCCCTCCTTTCGTTCTGGTTGGAACTCATCTGCAAGGCAGAGCCGTCCTTCTCGCCTGCTTCTTCATTAGTTCTCATTTATACTTGTGTGGGCTCGTGAACGTTTATTTTATTCTCGGTTACAATTCCATCGTATTTCATTGCTCAGAGGGTTCTAGCCGTAGCCCCTGGGACCCCTGCGGGCTGCCTCCTGTGCTCCTGGCGCGTGCCCGGCTCTTCCGATTGGGAGTCCTTCCCGACTGTCTCTGTGCACACTCCGGGAGCAGCTCGGGTCTCCCTGCCCGGAGCCACCTCCAGGAAGCCCTGGTTCCTTTCATTGGTTCTAAACGTTATCTGAAACCGAGACCTGGGCTCTGGATTCACGCCTTGCTTTGGGAGTGCCCCTGCTCCTGGGTCCTCCTGCCTGAGAGAGCTGGGATGTGTATGTGTTTTACCCCAGGCCTGCCTTGCATCTGCCTGTGCGTCTGTCCCCGTGGGTGTAGTTTCAAGCCCTCAATCCCAGCAGGCTCATTTTAGCCTTCCCTCCAGGAGACTGTGTTTGAGGCGCTCCCAGGGTATCTGCGCTGAACCCGACTGTGGAACAGCGGCTCCCGCACGAGCACTTGCTGGGTGTGGTGTGGACGCCAGTGCTCTTGTGGCTTAGTTAAGTACTGTACTCTTCAGTAATGAACCGTCTCTTCCTCAGTGAGTCATCATTTCTTCTTATACTGAAAAGAATTCTTACATCACTCCAATGCCTTAATTAAGGAAATCCAGCTTCCTAAAAAGTCAGTGTCCTGTTGTTACAGAGGAGGAGGACGTGGCCCCTCTTGTGGCCAGTGCTATGAAAACTTGTCAAAGAGATTGAGCTCACTTGAGTTAATGTTTAGTGGGCCGAATCTCAGGGAACTGGTAAACATTTTTTAAACATATAAACAGCCCACCCAAACAAGTAACAAAAGACTCAGAATTTCACTGAAGCAAATTTTATTTTAATATTTGAATTGTCTTTTTTATGACAGTCTGCACTTTTTTTAGTGTGGTTTTCCTTCTGAAGCAGGTCTTTTCTATCAACGCCCGCCACTGGGTTTTAAGCCCAGGGCCTTGTGCACACTGGGCAAGCGCTCTAGCTCCGGGCTGCAG